GACTTTAGCTTTACCATTATTTTCCATTTCACTATTTAAAGTGTGTCTTATTTTCATAAAGTACATTCACATATGGATCTTCATATCATCTTCACGTAGCAACCTTTACATAGTATATCACATAGTATACCACATAAATTATTTTTATATAGAACATTTTCGCATATCATCTTCACGTAGCAACCTTTACATAGTATATCACATAGTATTATATTTAAATCCATATATCATTTCATGTCAAATTTCATAAACAAAATATATCAAATATCAGAAAAGATTATGTTATACTTCAAATTACTTACATTAACAAATTTTCAAGATTTGGATCTTCACAAACCAAATTATTCACAATTTATTTATCAAAGAATGATAAAAGTGTTTCATGGTAAAATTCAAAACATTTCTTTTCAAAACATTTGAGGTTGACTCATCACGAGTCTTTCTCTTATTATATTTAAAAAAATAGTAAAATGCACTCACTTTTGCCTCACATAAGTTATAAGCAGACATTCTTTCACTGTAGCTTACTAACTTTACATATCCATTCGTTCAACACTTTCTTTCAATCAAATCTACACATTTAATATGACCCATGAATATCACAACTCAATTACATTAAACCAATTAACTTTTACCTAAACAAAATGAAACACCAAATTTAACATTTCAACCTGAATAGTATCGATACTCTTCCTGTAGTACGATACTTCTCTTATATGGTATCGATACCTACTTCAGTATTGATACCATTTCAACATTCTGGAATTTCTTCTTACTTACAGTATTGATACCTTATCCTTGGTATTGATACCTTACATCAGTATCGATACTTCTTCAACCAATATCGATATTGTTCAACCATTTCATAGTATTGGCTTCAATTTAACCTTATAGTATCGATATTGTTCCTCCAATACCGATACCTTTACCCAGATTTCATCCATTTCACTTTGAAAATTTTCCCAACTTCACTAAAATCTCCTACTTAGACTCCATTCATGCCTTTAAACTCATTTACACTTATTACCACTAACATATATCCATTAAAACCCCTCTAGCACCTCAATTTCTCCATAAAACTCTTGAAACTAAAAATCATATCAATTCTTAAAACTTGTTCTTAATCCTTTCTAACACTTCTAACCCCTTAATTAAACCCTTGACTAGTCAAATATATATTTAAAGATCCAAAAACAATCAATTTAAATTAATTCTCTTAAAACCCCATTTTATTAAATCACCATTAAATCCTTAATCTCTTAGTTTCAATTCATCCTAAAGCTTTATTAAGCTTCAACATCACCCAAAGAACCAAAACCAAATCAGAAATGAAAGAAATAATCAACTTTGAAATCTCTTACCTTTGCATGGAGGTTCACGAGGAAGATGATAAGAGATGAGCAAGCTTCCAGAGTTTTCCTTTCTTTCTTTCTTTCTTTCTTTCTTTCTTTCTCACGTGTTAAATAACCCTTAAAAATGTTTTTTTATTTTATTTCTTGTCAAAAGACCATTTTACCCTTTAATCTTTCAATCTCTGATAATAAGTCCTAAAAAAATTCCCAAAATTAATACTTGAACTTTCAATTTAACAAAAGATTACTGCTAACTTTTAAATCCTTACACTTTGGTCACTAACCTGATGTTTGGGGTGTTACATCATCAATCGACTTAGAGCTCTTCTTTCGTCCATCAACTTTGTTTGTATGTCGTCCTAGTGATAGATTTGACTACTTAGTTATGAAACTCTTATGTCGATATGAAAACCTTCTAATTTGGTCAATCACTTGTGAATTAACACCTTGTTTGGTTATGATGAGAAAATTCAAATACAAACAAAAGACAAAGAAAAATAAGGTAAAATAAAAGAAATTGCTAGTGCCATTCAACCAAAAAAGTAGAAAAATATTTATGAAAAGAAAAGATACTACTCAACATGGTATCTATAATGATATGCTTTTATAACAGTTCTACCCAGACATGTTTTCTACCCCATGCATTGTTCAACGTATAAATCCTAACCTTATTTTTCTAGTTCACAAGCTTCGTACGAAAATATAAAACCTAACCGCATACTCTTCTACTTCTCATTCTTTTTTCAAAATAATAAACAAATAAGTCTGAGGAAAGGTTAGAGTAAGTTCCCCTTTATGAATTTTGAAGAACCACAGACAGAATTTCGGTACAAAACAGGTAGAGTGTAATGCCCCAAACAACGGGTTAGTGACTAAAGTGTAAGAATCTAAAATTAGGTGGTTTAATTTGAATAAAAAATTTTAAGGACTGCTTTTGGGAAATTGTGTCTAGGACTTATTATCAAAGATTGAAGAATGGAAGGACATTATGGTCTTTTGGTAAGAAATGAATTTAATAAGTATTTTTAAAGATATTTAACATGTGATGAATAGGGGAAAAAGGAAAAGCCTAGAACATAGGTTATCTTCTCTTCTTCTTTCTTTTTCCCACGAGCTTTCTCTTTGCCAACGTGATTTATTTAAGTTGGTTATTTCTTTCATTTTTGAGTTGGTTTTGAAGCTTGTTGTGGTATAGAAGATTAACGAAGCTTAGAGATGAAGAGAAAATAGTGATTAAGGAATTAAGGATGAATTAGTAAAATGGGTTTTTAAGTGAATGGATGAAATTTGGTTAGTAATTAGATTCTAAAGTCATATTTGACTTGTCAAAGGCCTAATTAAGGTATTTAAAGTCTTAGAAATGATTGAAAACATGTTTGAATATTTGGTGTGATTTTTAGTTTTAAGTGTTCTATGGAGAATTTTGGATGTTAAAAGGTAATTAATGGATATAAGTTGGTGATAAATGTTTGTAAGTTTAAGGGTTTGATTGGATCTAAAAGTATGGGATTTAGGTAAAGTTTTGATAAAATTCGAAGTGAAATATGTAATTCTAGGCAAGGGTATTGGTACTGGAAGAATAATGCCAATACTATAGGGTTACACTGAAGGAAATAATATGCATCAGATGAAAAATATCAATACTGATTAAAGTAGTATCGATACTGATGTGGAGGTATCAATACCATGAGTAAGGGATCGATATTGTAATTGAAAATGGAATTCTAGAATTCCAAAATGGTATCGATATTGAAGTGGGTATCGATACCATAGAAGAGAAGTATCGATAATGTAAGAGGGATACATATACTATTCAGTCTGAAAAATTATTTAGGAGTTTTCATCTTGTTATGTAGGTGTTAATTGGATACCATTTAATGGAAATTCGGTATTGATTTTGGAAACATTTATGTGTAGATTTGGATTAAAAGCATACCGGATAAATCGACATAGTTCGAAATTGAACGAAAGGAAAATGATTTTGTTTAGGACTTATGTGAGGCAAAGGTGGGTGCAATTTATATATTTTTTATATTAGATATGAGGATGGCTTGCGATAAGCCAACCTCGAAGGTTTTCGATCGAAAATTGTTTATTTAATTTTATGCAATATTTTATGATGTTTTATATAAAGTGTATTTTCAAAGAACTGTTTTGATTTTATTCGTATGTGAATATGTTTTTTTATGAAAATGTTCTATGTGAAAATGTGCTAAGTGAAAATGTTCTACGTGAAAATACCCTATGTGAATGTGTTTTACGTGGATAAAACACACTTGGAATAATGAAATGTTAAATTTTTATATGGTTAAAGCCCAAGGTATATGTATGAGAATTAGAGGTATAGTTGGCTTGCCAAGAGTCAAGGGTTTTACACGGTCATTCAGGATAAAATTCTACGTGGTCCTTCGGGATAATTTTCTACGTGGTACTTCAGGACAAATCTATGTGGCACTTCGGTGCACATTCTACGTGGCACTTCAGTGCAAATTATATGAGCAGTGGTGACTGTATTTATAGTGCACAACCTCAATGTACTCAGTTACCTTCAGTTCTCAATGATATGCGTTGGGCTATTAAAACAAAGTGAAATAAATTGAATCTATAAAAGTCACTACATCAAAACAGAGTTTTAGCGGCATTTTTTTAGTCCTATAGCGGCGTTTTTAAGCGCTGCTAAAAGCACTTGCGGCGATAGGAAAAACGCCGTAAGAAGTGCCGGCCATACCAGCGCCGCTAAAGTTAGCGGTGTTTGAGAACAAAAAATGTCGCTATAGGTCAAGATCTATCGCGACGTTTTTAGAACAAACACCGCAAAAGGTAGAGATCTATAGCGGCGTTTTTTGAACAAACGCCGTAAAAGGTCGAGAATTATAGCGGCGTTTTCAAAACAAACATACAAAAGGTCGATATATATAGTGGAATTTTCAAAACAAACGCCGCAAAAGGCCAGATCTATAGGGGCGTTTTTTGATACAAACGTCGTAAAAGGTCAGATCTATAGCGGCATTTTTGGAACAAACGCCACAAAAGGTCAGATCTATAGCTACGGTTTTTAATACAAACACCGCAAAATGTTATATCTTTAGTGGTATTTTTTTATACAAACGCCGCAAAATATGTACTCCGTTAGTGGCATTTTCCCCTAAAACGCCACTAATCGAAATTGATTTTCAATATATCTTCTTCCTATTTTGTATTAGCCAAATTTAACCTGTAATAATATCCAATAACCATCTTAAATTTCATTATGATTCTAATTAAGTAATAATACATAAAAACATAAATAAATCAAAGTTTACTAACATCCAAGTTAAATAAATAAATATTCAGTGGGTACTGAAACATCAAGCTAGACATTACATAAATTTAGACACCAAAATACTGCTTAAGTAAGAGAAGGTTTAGGACAATTGATTAAAACACAAAAAAAAGTCCTACCAACACTAAGAAACACATGATATATGAATGTCCTCAAGACCAGCAACCAAAAATTTTTTGCTTAAAGCCTCTCCAGTAATCCATCCGTAAGATCATTACTACAAAATTCAAATCGAAGAAGTAAATGGTAAACAATTAGAACAACTTCTTGTAAAGGTAATTTTACTAAAAAAGATTGAACAAAAAGGGGAAGGGAAAAATAATACATTAGAAAGTGAAACTCACATCAACATCAGAGTTTCGAGGAGATGGGCTACGAGAATCAACAAGACGACCTCGTGGTGAAACACTTCGAGAACTTGGAGACCGCCCATCAAAGTTGCGTTCTGGACTTTCACCCCTGGGAGATGCCTTGCGTGGGGAAAGACTTTTTCGAGGACTAAGGCTACGGTGAGCAGGAGAAGCACAGAAACAAAGAAGGTATCGTTACAAAGTTGAAGAAAAAAAAGATTTTGAAAATAAAGGAAATTACTTTCTAAAATGTGAGCGAAGTACAAATATAAACCTCATTTTTCTACTACAACTGTCGATCATCATCATTATCTCACCCTATTGCTCGACCTTTAGAATAGCCTGGACTTGCATTGCGGCTCGTGCTTCTACACCGATAGTCTCTGTTTCTCTCATGATATCGATCACGTTCAAACCGGTTATAACTCCTACTACGACTTCTTCTCTTATAATCTATGTCTCTGTAATAATCATACTGGTGACTGAAGATAATGAATATCAGATGATTAGAGTTAGACCATAAAGAAATATATAATTAATCCCTATGTAATTTGGCTATTAAAACAAGCTTAAAAGCATCACATGTACAAACCAAGAGTGTTTCCCCTCTTTAACTCAAATAGGATAAAAGTTAATTTAGAAATGTCAAGATGTAAACTGGGAAAAAATAGTTTGTATTTGTCCAGACATCCAATTCAGGAACAAGCAGATAAACAAATGATTTTAATTTAGTAATTTAGAGCAATCTACACCTGACACCATCATGTTCAATCTGCCGTAATCAAGACCCCACCAGTTGATAAGGAAAATGAATAACATTATAAACCCTCATGATTATCCTTTCATCAATGTCTCCCATGATTTACAAAAAGGTGGGGACAAGATAGAAGAGAAAATGCAATTATAGTACAAAAATATAAAAAGTTCTTTGATCTCAATATCAAAAAGGTGGGGACAAGATAAAGAGTTTTTATCTTGTAACATAGACATTTACCAAAGGTTCACCTCGAAATCTAACTTATGATCTCAGTATCAAGTTCCTTATTATCTTTTACCACAATTTGAAATACATTTTTGACAGAATCTTAGGACGATATAAGTAAATATTATCAATAATGAAATCTGACCCCCCCCAAAATTTATAACTTTAGAATTTGTTGATACCATTAAGAAATAATAACACAACCATAACTCTGTAGGACAGTACATTACCTTTAAACAATATATTAGGTCCTCTTTGTCATCTGATGACAGTGCAAGGTTTTATAGAACAAGAGTGATGAAATACATGATTTTCTGCATGATGCATAAAAAGCCTAATCAGGAACTAATATACATCAATAGATAGAACAAATTAGTGATAATTAACTATGTTAGGATTCCCCGCTAACTTTAATGATGGTTCCATTATAATTTCCTTCTCATCAGTGACATAGACTTTCATTCATGGCATATGATAAAATCAACAATGAGTATAACTCTATTGAATTTGTGCTGGAATTACGCATGGGGTGGTGGTGGTTGAAACAAACGAATAAAACACAATGCATGCAAATAAGCTAAAAACTCACAACCACCACATGCTTGCAAATATGTTAAATTAAATGTTCTCAAATGGGCTACTTTCCAATACTTTTCTTGAATAATTTCACAACATAATTATATGCCTCAAGGCCATTTTTTCTAACTCGTTTGCTAGTCTAAAACATAACCAAGACACCTAGCATGCACTATTTTCAGTACAATCAAGTTTCACAGTAATAAAATCAGATTTTTTTTAGAATTGCAATGCCTTGTTTCATGAATGCGGTGGTACTCGGATTCTTCTTGGAATGCAAAGAAGAATTTAGATCAATCAATGATACAATGTGAACACATTTCATGGCATGAACAGTTGTGATTATGTTAAATAAGGCCACATGTTCTCAATAAATTTGTTAAAGCCAATCAACCTTGAGAGAAACATGCAATTATTATCTTGGTGCATAACTTAGGACCAGACATATAGAAATGACATAGCATAGAATGTAACACCCCAATTTAGGGGCTAAATTTTAGAAATATTAAAGTGGTGAATTTAATTGATATTTTAGAAGAAATTGGGGATTTAAATTAATTAGGTTCACCAGAAATATTATGAAGATTTGGAGACCTTGAGTATAATTTTTCCTTACTTGATTATTATTAAATTAAGATGATTCTAGAGAATCAGAAATTGATTTTTAGTTAATTTAGATCTGACTGATAAATATTATTTTAGTCAAAATAAAGGAGGGCCACAAATTGAGATATTTTAAAGAACAGTTAGGTTTTAAAATGGATAATGATAATAATGGGAAACCAAGCTCAAACTGACACTTTCTATGGTTGAAGGCAAGTTGCCATTTCTTGAAAATCTAGCATGATTCTAAGCGGATAGTCGACATGTGAGTCCATGGGATCCACACAATTATTTCACTTGTTAGATACAAAAAGAAAGGGTTCCGTTCCAGCATTTTATAAATAACCTAGTTTTATTCGTTTAACTCTTTATCCACCACCATTTGGGTTTGAAAAAGCATTTTATCTAAGGTTCTCCACTTCCATTAAAGCTTCAGCCTTTGTTCGTTTGTGTCACCTTTTTATTTCATTTTCCATAATCTTGTTTCTTTGTAAATCGCGGGACTTTCTTTGATTTTAAGAATAGTTAATTCGTGCTGGAAGAAATCATGAAGATTTCTTGAGTGCCATTTGAACACGCAATTGTTGGACGCTCTATACAGTCCTGATTCCACCGCTTCCTTCATTGTTTTGTTTCCCTTTTACTTCGTTTTACTGAGAAAATGTTGAACATGGCGGAAAAATCCAAAGCTGGATTTAACATCTTCCAACGAGATATCCACACAAAAGATATCAGCTTCAGATCATATTAACGGGTTACAATACACAGCCGATGATAAATCCGATAGCTTTGTCGACGACATGGAAGGTTTCTATCATGGAGGTCTCTGCAAAACTGCTTAGAATGTTGAGGTGACAGTTATAAAAAAAACTGCTGCAATTGAAATTTCTAGTTCTCATTCTCGAAGATGGAATACAGCTTCACAACTACAATTTGAAGATGTGGAATGTTTATGAAATGTTAAAGAAATGAGATTGAAATGTTGGGAAAATGGGGTTAAGATTCCAACAGGAAAAATCACGTGAGAGGAGATTTAAAAATATAAAGTGGAAAATCGCATCATGAGTTCTCAAGGTTTGGTAAGAACTTGGTATTGTCTCATAATTTCCATTAGTTTTAGTTTATGACCCAATAGTGCAAATTAATTCGGTCCAGTCCATAATTTTAGTGATTAATTATTAAAGTAGCCCTACAAGTATTCTATTATACTAATTGAGTTTCCAAATTATTATTTCAATTCTAATAAGCTATCTTTATGGCAAGGGAAATTATTTAGATACGAGTTAGTAATTTGGATGGCCTGGATCGTGAGGAAAATATTGGAAGTTGAATTAAAGATCGAGGGCGTTCGAATGGAATTTAATGGTCGATTAGTATGGTACAGAAATCGAGGTAATACTTTACAACCTCTCTATGCTTTATGGAACATGTGAATATTGGTAAATGCATGAATAAGATAATGTTGGTCTCATTTGAGTAGTTAATTAATTTCTACACTCAATCCGAATACAGTAGAGATTTGGTAACTGATTATGGTTCAGAGGACTTTTATAAGAAATTGAGGAATTGTTAGAATTAAATTTAAAGTTCTGTGTTTGGTAATAAAGAAATTAATCTAGATCTGTATCTTATAATTTATTTCATCAAAGGTCAAATGTTAAAGGTACATAGATGCGAAATTATGAGAATACTCCGGTAAGGTACAAAAAATTACGAAAATACCCTTATATTATTAAAAGACAAGATTTGACTATGGAAGTTGGATCAGAGATTTTTAATTTGATGAAACTATTGATGTGCATAAGAAAAGCTAATTCTGCTTGGAAAATATAGATAATCGGTTTTAATCATGAGGATTTAAGCAAGAATCTAGGAGTCTGTTAAGGGAATCATTTCAAGATCAGAGAATGTTCGGGAAAGCAATTAATCATAGGATCTCTAAATTATAATTATTTTCGTTATGAACTAATATCGAAATTATCTAGTTAAGAAATTACGAAAATGACCTTGAGAGGTAAAATAGTTTGAGTTGACCCTAAATGAGAAAATACTTTGAGTATTTGTACTTAACTCGATTAAGTACGAATTTAATTGTTAAGATCTTGTATTTGTACAGACAAAATTCATGATATTTCGTTTGTAAAATCTGAGAAGGTACTTGACCCGAAAATATCCGAGTAATGAGTAAATACCTGAAGAATAATTTATCGGGGGTATTATGCTGTCAGAATTATGAGAAAGAACTGAAATAAATGATAAGATTGAATTTAATAGTAAGATCGGACGGAAGGAAAGGATTAAAATACACTAAATCTATAAAATGACCAAAATACCCCTATAATGGAAATGACCCAAGAATACCACCAAGCTCAGGAATGATGGGATATCCTTGAGCTCTGTAATGATTGGAATAAAAATGAATACCAAAATGAGCAAAATACCCTTATGGCCTATACTAAGTAAATGTCTTGGATTAATTAAGAAATCCAAATAAACATATGTATTGGACTACCTTTAAAAATAATGGAACATAATTTAAGTGAATAGATCAACCCTAAAGCTATGTCAATACCTGAATGGCATAGATATTACTGGAATGCGTGTTCGTCTTATCAAGTTTGGCTCGATGATAAATTTTGGAAGTATTCAGCTCAACTCTAGATCGCATTCAGTACTAAGAATTAGACGTTTGTTCGACAAATCAACCACGAATACCATAATGACTTTATTATATGACTAAATTGAACTGAAAGGAAGTACAACATGTATTTGAAATTCAGAAATGTCTGAATTATTCTAGAAAACTCTAAAATAACCGGGATAGACTTGCTTACTAAACGAACTAAGTAACCTCAATGACTGAGGATTAATTAGGTGATTGAATGAGTTTGGAAACACTGTTGAACTTATATAATGAATTGTCCTTATGGGTTATGAACCATGAATCAAGTACGTTCATATTTTCTGATATCGTTGAAACATGGAAATGAAATAAAGACCGTTGGAAGATCTATTTAGCGATGATTATGGGGATGATCTATGGATATGCATTATGGTATTAAAGAGTGAATACACTGGAAGGATAATGAATTGACTTGTTGACATGCATCAGTTTGGGAGTTGTGTAACTCGAATTGTTTGATAATACGATTGATAGTCATAGATTGTAAATGACTTGAATCTTCGATTATATATTTTCATCTAAAATCACTTCGGTCATGTTTGAAAACATAAGTAACGCAGAAGGAAAAGATTCTAAATACCTCATTTGGTTCAATTGGGCTGAAATCCTATCAATTCAAAGTATATTCCTGAATACCCCTGATTGTTTGGGTAATTGAATCACTTACAGTAAATCTGAATTTTGAATTATTATGTATAAAGGTTCTTGAACGTTTTCCTGATGCACATGAAAACTTAGTAGAATTCTAAAGTATCAATTTGAAATGTCTGATTAGATTGGTTAGAAATTGATTCTCTTAAATAAGATCTTATTCCTGGAATCCGATCAAATTGCACAAGTTCATGTTATCTATAATGATAACTACAAAATGCATATGAAAAATATTTGGATTCTCTAGTGTGTTCCTTATATTTTGAAAAATTGTTTTATTGTTTTAATATGTGGTACACTGAAATCTATGGTTACTGTTTTATGGATACACCTACTTAAGGATGATGGCTTATGGATTTGTTTCATTGTATAAACTGTATCTTGGATATACAGATCTGTAAAGTACAACTCTGATCAAGTTGGAAAATTTTTATGGACCTAATGTGACTCTTAGGTAGGCTCTGCGACCTTGAAATCATTCTCGGGTAGGCCCTGCGGCCCTAAGATGTGCTCTTAGGTAGGCCCTGTAGCCCTGAACTTTCTTGGGTAGGCTCTCAGGCCCTAATATGTTCCCTTAGGTTAACTCTTTGTACGATGGTTTTAAAAATATGAGTTTAAAAAGATCTACTACAGTATGGATTATGGGATTTACTGAACTATCATTTGATTAGTGTACCTATTATGATTTTATCGTACTGATGGAACACGCTAGACATCCTATTCGACCTCATGAAAACGTGACTGTATGAAAGGTTTCTTATGAACTGAGATTCATGGCTTCAACTCGATGAAATACTAATGGAACCCCAAATTATTCCACAATTGGTATACATTTGATTCAATAAGGAAATTATGGTTTTCCATTTATCTGCATGTCCTGTAGTATCATCTGGTAGTTCTGTATTACTGAGCTTTTCGAAGCTTACTCTATTACTCACCATTGCAGGTTAAAAGATTGTACCAGTACAGCTATCAACATCAGTAAGGGAGTTCTTCTGGCGTTGCTTGCAGAGTATGGTACATGTGATTAGGGGGCATGTAATTGTATTTTGTTTTATATATGAGTCTGAAAATCTATTTTATTTCGAATACTGATAAATTTTATTTTGTACTCATAAATGATTTTATGAGTTTACATGTTTTAAGAAAAGTTTTAAATTTTCCGCTATTTTTTCGATGGGTCGCTCTGGTTGCCCTAATGTGACACTCCAGATTGAATCGGGATATCTGCATCGGTCTAAGGGAGTTACATAGAAGAACATACACGGTCGAAATCTGAATTCCAGGCCCACAAGGGGATCTATGGAAGCATCCTCTGTAAAATTTTCAAGTCTTCCTCAACCAAAGGATGGATTTTAGGATCCTGAACATAGGGAATGTTAAAAAGGAAAAGAAATAACATGACCAACTTATCAATGGTTCAAAGGCTGAATTAAGACAATTGAGACAATATGTTTTGTTCAGCCATTTATATACATCAAAACAACCCAAATTGTTTGGTAAATGCCTCTACTACAATAAGCAAAATCCCAGAAAAACAGGGGTAGGACAGGAGCAACAAGAACATAAATAACTCTGGTGAATGTTAGAAAAGTTTCTCAATCCTAAAACTTAAAAATTTCTTAGAAAAACATAAGCTATCAATTTGGTCACTTTAAAACCATGGATATACATCTTTCAAAGCAAGAACACTACAAAATACAAATCTTAGCACACTAAAACTCGAATTGTATTTAGAAAACAAATTGAGTTAACCATAAATACGAGTAAAATGAAATATTTGATCAGCTTAGAGTAAAGTTATCATTTTTATAATACATATTCATTCTTTAAACTAATAAATCTGCTTGCAAAAGTAATCAAAAGAAAGAAAAAAGAAGAAGTAAAACATAAGGAAAATTCAACAGATAGAGAAACAAACCTTAACATCAGTGGGAATGAAGTAGATGAACATGTAATACCCAATGACGATCCCAACAGAAGTTCCAATTTCGAAGCAAAAACACCCAATATAGAGCTCAATACACCCATCCTTCTACTGGGAAGATATTTCAAGAAGTTAAATCGAAGTTGCATAAAAAATATTTTTTTTGTTCAGTTCAAGGAGAAGAAAAAAAGCCCAGAAATGGAATCTGAATAAGATTCTTATCTGAAGAAAAATTGAAAAAAATAAATAAAGAAAGAAATACAAAGAGATATTAGAGTTCCAAAAATAATGAACCGAAACGAGATAAAGAATCGAAAATCATTATCAGCCAAAGCCACAGAAACATTCGTCTATGATCTGCTCCTCCATTTTCCATTGCACTCCTCGACAACTAGCATTATTAATTATAATTAACTAAAAGTACCATTTGTTTCACGATGCATAAAGTTAGATCGATGAAGAAGTAGCAAATTCAGCGAAGAGAAATTGAGATCAGGGAAGAGGCAGCATAAGGGTTTGGGTAAACGGGGGATGAAAAAATAGGTAAAGGGGGAAAAATGAGAAAGGGCTAAAGGGGCGGGACTTAGAAAATATAAACTTAAGGCATTTGTAAATAAAAAAACCACTAATGTATGCGTATTTAGCAGCATTTTTGCTTAAAACGCCACTAAAGTATAAGTATTTAGCAGCGTTTGTCAAAAAACGCCACTAAAGTACGAGTATTTAGCGATGTTTGTCTAAAAACGCCAGTAAAGTACTAGGTTTTAGCGGCGTTTGTCTAAAAATGCCACTAAACTATGAGTATTTAGCGGTGTTTTTACTTAAAACGTCACTAAAGTACTAGGTTTTAGCGGTGTTTGTCTATAAACGCCACGATATATGTACCCTATTACGGCGTTTGTTTAAAAACGCCACTAAAGAACGATTCTATGGCGGCGTTTGTTTACAAACGCCACTAAAGTACTTATCTTTAGTGGCGTTTGTCAAATAAACACCACTAAAGTACGAGCTTTAGCAGCGTTTGTTGAAAAATGCCATTAATGTTACCATTTAGTGGCGTTTTGGATATAAACGCCGTGATATGTACAAATTTAGTGGCGTTTTCTTTAAAAATGTCGCAATAAAGGCCGTTATATACATGTTTTACTATAGTGAGTATATGTTATTTTCATGAAATGTATCTTGATTTCAATATGCAAAGTTTTCTATGAAGTTAATAAACAAGCGTTTCTAAATGTTTTTTTATACTCATTATTGACTCACTAAGTCATCGACTTAGCGTGTGATTGTTTCACACATAGGTACAAAAAGATCCGAGGAGTAAAGCTAGGAAAGGGCAGCATACAACTAAAGAAAATCATATCATAATTATTTGAATTGTAGGTGATTTATTTTGGTTACTTTGAAATTTTTTTGGTGTGTATTATAAGGTTTTAAATCGAATAGCTCTGATTAATTTTGTAATCATACTATTTTAAGTTATATAAATATATTGAGTATTTATTCTTATTGTGAATTATAAATTTTCAATAGTAACTTTGGTTTAAGGATTTCACTACTTAAATACAAATAAAATTTTAAATTTTCAGCAAGTTTTCAAAGAGTCAAAGTTTTAAAAAGTCAATGTGACACCTCGGATTCATATACGGGTCGGGTACAGGTTGGGTTGTTACATTTATTGGTATCAAAGTTATGGTTTAACTGATTTTAAGTTTGAAACAAAGTAAATTGTGTTTTAAAAAGTGTACATGCCAACGAAATGTTAAAAATTTATGATCTGATAGGGTAATTAGTATGTTGTCATTGCTAATAAAGTTAGTAATTATATCTTAATAGATGTCGGACTACGAGGGCTATCGAATTAAAGAGGGAGATGGGTATGAGAGAAGTAGTAATTCACTTGCCCAGTTAGGCAAGGTGAAGAACAGACACCTCATAGAGTGCATGTACATGAACAGAGATCATTTTTCCAGACGTTAGACACGATTCTGACTTGTTTCCAACCGTCTGCTCTCCCAGCTCCTAAGATAAATGTGGCTAAGGAACTAAGAAGTTTAGGAGAACCTGAATTTAAGGGAGAAGTCGAAGAAGGTCCTGTTTCTGCGAACCTTTAGCTAAATGACGTGAAGATTTTGCTTATGGGTCTCTATTGTTCTAAAATGGAGAAATTAGATGGAGTAGTCTCATTGCTATGAGGTCAAGTGCATATATAGTGGACTAATGTGACAATGAGAGCACCTAGAGATCAAGTGGTGTGGCCATTCTTTTTGGAAGAGTTCAATAACAACTATATCGGTGATCAGTTTATTAGACAAATGAAGCAGGAGTTCATGAATTTAAAACAAGGGAATTACGCTGTGTATGAGTACGAGTACGAGTTCAACAGATTGAGTAGATTTATAGCTGAATTGGTTCTAATGGAAAAATACTCAAGTGATTGGTTCGTGGAGGGTTTGCATCCTAGATTGAAGGAGTTGCTGTTAGCGTACAACCTTTCTACATTTCAAGAGGTTGTGAATCGAGCTAAAGCCTTGGAGTGAGCTCAGAATGAAAGATTTAGGGAGTAAAAGACCCAGTAGAACAAGAGAGTTAGTGCCTCGTCGAGTGCATCACAATCAACGAGAAATCAATGTTCAAGTTTTTGACCTCAGTCTAGATCTAAATCAGATGCATCCTCAAGTAGACGATCAAATCCTGTGAGAGCTAAGCAGACTCAATCTATTGAATCTGAAGCTAGAAGGCCAAGTCAATGTAAGAATTGTGGAAAAAATTATAGTGGCATATCAGATGTGGGGACAAGGGACATTTTATTCGGGATTGCCCATTGATGACTGGAGAGCCTGCACAATATGAGAGATCTACTATTGTACCTCAGAGAGGTAGAGGATGAGACAGAGAAAGAAATCAATCTGAGTCGGCCACTCAACCTGAAACGTGCTCGACTGCTCAAGACTACAACCTTAAGACTAACGAAGATCGCGATGATCCAGAGATCATTGCAGGAACTTTTCAATTAGTTGATAAACTTGTTTTAATTTTGATTGACCCGTGATCAACTTATTCTTATATCAGTAGGGAATTGATTAGAGAATTGAACATTTAATTAGAACCTATAAGTGATGACGTGATCGTGACTAACCCGTTAGGGCATAGGGCTCGGGTGAATCAATTTTGTCGAGCGTGTCCCATAAGGATTCAGGGAACTTGCTAATCTAATGGAATTACCCTTTGACGAGTTTGAAGTTATTCTGGGAATGGATTGGTTGCATTGTTACCATGCCAATGTCGATATTCGATTGAAGCGAGTAGTTTTAAAAAGTTCTGATGGATCAGAAGTAATTGTGATCAGTGAAAGATTTAATCCATTAGCTAATGTGATATCGGCAATATCGACTAAGAAGTTATTATTGCAAGGATTTCAAGCTTTTATCGCCAATGTGATCGATACTCGAGCCAAGGAGATAAGACTGGAGGATATTCCGACGGTCTGAGAATTTTCAGTTCCAGCTGAGTTACTGGGATTACCTCTAGATATAGAGGTTGAGTTTCAAATTGAGGTTCTTCAAGGAACAACACCAATTTCGATGGCTCCTTGCAAAATGGCCCCAAAGGAACTAAGTGAGTTAAAGAATCAATTTCAAAAGCTTTTAGACAAAGGATTCATCAGACCTAGCGTATCACCTTGGGGTGTATCGGTACTATTTGTAAAGAAGAAAGATGGTTTGATGCGTCTATGTATTGATTATTGATATCTCAACAAGGTGATAATAAAGAATAAGTATCTTCTCCCAAGAATCGACGATTTATTTGATCAACTCAAGGGAGCTTCGATGTTCTCCAAGATTGATTTGTGTTTTGGCTATCACCAGTTGAAGATACAAGAAAAGGATATTCCAAAAATGAATTTTAGGACTCAGTATGGCCATTATGAGTTTGTGGTAATGTCATTTGGATTAACCAGTCCACCGACAGCGTTTATGGACCTCATGAATAGAGTAATTCAATGTTACCTCGATCAGTTAATGGTTGTATTCATTGATGATATCTTGGTCTATTCAAAGACAAATGAGGAACATGTCACTCATCTTTGAGTGATTCTTCAAACACTACGAGACAAGATGCTTTATGCTAAGTTATCTAAATGTGAAGTTTGGTTACCTGAAGTGGTATTCCTTGGACATGTGGTATCTGCAGAGGGGATTTGAGTAGATCATCAGAAGATTAAGGCTATTATGGATTGGGAAGTTCCAAGAAATGTTTCTAAAGTTCGTATTTTGTTGGGATTGGTTGGATATTATCGAAGGTTTGTTAAGGACTTTTCAATAATTTCCTCCCCATTGACCAAGCTGTTAAAGAAATATATGTCATTCAATTAGACTGGTGAATGTCAAGAGAGTTTTGAATCCTTAAAGAATGTGCTAACGGAAGCTCCAGTGGTAGTGCAACCATAATCGGGTAAGGGTTATACAATCTATAGTGACACTTCTCATAATGGTCTGGGATGTGTTTTAATGCAAGATGGAAAAGTAGTAACCTATGCTTTGAGACAACTTAAACCACATGAGAAGAATTATTCGACTCATGATCTCGAGTTAGCAGTGGTCATGTTTGCACTGAAAATATGGTGCCATTATTTATATTGTGAGCGATGTTATATTTACACAGATCACAAGAGTTTGAAGTATTTGCTGACTAAAAATGAGCTAAACCTAAAACAAAGGAGATGGATCGAGCTACTTAAAGACTATGATGCAGTCATATATTACTACCCTGAGAAAGCTAACGTTGTAGCTGATACACTTAGCCGAAAGACTTTTACAGCTTTACGCCTGTTAGATGCCCGATTTGCGTTAAAAGGCAATGGTGTTATAATGGTTGAATTAAAGCTAAGACATCTATTGTTGGAGCGGATAAAGGAGTTGAAAAGAAGAGATGTTAAGTGTTCTGCAAGATTAGTACAAGTGGAAAAAGGTGAAATCAAGGATTTTGATATAAAATCATATGGATGTTTATACTAAAGAGACCGAGTTTGTATTCCAAATGATGAAGAATTGAAAATAGATATACTTTCTGAAGCACATTGTAGTTCGTTGACTATGCATCT